GCCTCCCAAGTAGCTGGGACCACAGGCGCCCGCCACAACACCCGGCTATTTTTTTTTTTTTTTTGGTTGCAGCTGTCATTGTTGTTGTTGTTGTTGTTTTCTTTTTGGCAGGCCGGGGCTGGATTTGAACCTGCCACCTTAGGTGTATGTGGCTGGTGCCTTAGTCACTCGAGCTGCAGGCACTGAGCCTGGATAAATTTTTTTTTTTTTTTTTGAGACAGAACCTCAAACTGTCACCCTGGGTAGAGTGCTGTGGCAGGCTGGGGCTGGATTTGAACCTGCCACCTTAGGTGTATGTGGCTGGCACCTTAGCCACTTGAGCCACAGGTGCTGAGCCAGGAACTTGGTTTTTATTTATTACTATGAAGCACTGGTTAGCTGTATCAGCTGCAGGAGAACATTCAACCCAGCACACAAACCACATGACAGGCTGCAACCCAGGCTTGGGCTGGGATCATAAAAACCTACTGCTGAAATTATTCCCTAGTACACCTTTGCGGCCCATCTATTATTTTGATGTAGTATTTTCACCAACCTGATAAAACACCCAGTCTTCACGTGGAATCACCCAAGGTCATGTCCACTTAAACAGCACTTCTAAAATGTAGTCTTTGCACCTCCAGAAAGCATGCTCCCTCACAGACTTAAAAGTCAGAGCACAAACCCCAGGTTAAATGAGGAAGTAACTTCTAGTGAACTAAGTTATAAACAGCCTTGCTAGGGAGCAAAAGAATTAAAAATAGGCTTTTGGTGGCAACATGAAAACAGAGACAGATTTTTTTTTCTTGATTCATTCAATTGAGAAGATTGGAACAGCATTCATCTTTATTTTACATTCAATCTTTCTGTTCCTAAAGATCTTTGAGTGCAAATAGGAATTTGCACCATTACCTCGGTCATTTCATGCTTTCCCAATTCCTTGCTGGTGTGTTTTGATAAAATGAATGCTTCGCCCTTTGCCTTCATAGACTTTTTCTTACTAAAGCTTTGCTATTATAGAAAGTTAGTTAAAACAAAAAACCTCTATACAGAGCTTGGTTATCAGCCGGGCAAAATAATATATTTAAAGTGACCGGAGGTCACTGGGATGGATGAGAAGGAGAGAGCCCTGGGCCTCCCTCTATCTCCACCTAAGTGTCTCCCATTCACTTGTCCCTTCTCTCTGTCCCTAGGTGACCTTACCTGAATCTCTCCCCATGAGAGAGATCCCAGGGATGGCAGAGGAAGGACATGGGCTTCCTCTCCCAACATGGATGTCTAATGCCCAGGTGTGACAAAGAGAGATGACTCTAAGTAAGGTTGCTTCATCATCATCATTGCCCTCATGGAAATAAAACTGCCTTTCTACTAAAGTATCCAGTAATTCTAGAACAACTAAAGTCACCCAAAATGGGAAGGCCAGAGGTGGCCTCGTGAAGATGTGCAGGAATGTTTTAACAATACACAAGAGCAGGCCAGGTGTGGCTGTTCTCACCGCTAACCCAGCACTTAGGGAGGCCGAGGCAGGAGGATTGCTTGTTCAAGGCCGCAGTGACAGAGAGAGACCCTGTCTCCAAAATATAAATTCATTAATTAAAAAAATTTTTAAAAGAATAAATACAAGTTTCCTGAGTGGAAAAGTTCCAGACCTAAGAGGTGAGTTTGAGAGTCACGGTTATTCACAACCTACCTCTGTGTGGAGGGACACACAGAGGCTTAGCACGCAGCAACAACAAAACAAAAACAAGACACAAAACTCACAACAAAATAAACTGAAACCCTAAAAATAACATTTAATAATACTTAACATAAAGACACAGACACTATTGTAGAACTTATTTTTACTTTATTAACAATGTGGCTTACAATTTTTTCAAGTAAAAAGGGTTTTCTTTTCATTTAGAATAAAAATTAAAATATAACTCTGATATAGATTTTCATTTATTTACATGAAAGCATATATACAGAATACAATCTTACAGCAAACTAAAAGCATGCCCTTTGTCCTGCAAATCTGAAAACACACCAATTCTTCCCACTTATGCACCAAAACATACACAAGATTGGAATCCAATTTCTACACAAACGCTTCGACGTGGGACGTAGAACAGCAAGAGGCCTCTCGACATCCACAGCCGGGCAGTTTCCTCTCATAGAGAACACGCTACCTTCCGTTCTGAACAAGCGAGATGAACACATTTTCTGTCATTGAAAAAGTTCGCCTCAAATTTTCCATCTTCAGGTGATTTTTAGCAAATGATTGTCCTGGAATGTTCCTTCCTCAGCGCGTCCCTTCAGCCACCTGGCGCGCGGCTCTGCCTCCGTAGGTGACAGTGACCCACATGCTCAGTGGGACCCAATCCTTGCCACTCAACACAAACCTCTGACGTGGAAAGACGGTGGCTCAGGAAGCTGTCTGCAATCTTATTTCTCATTCAAACTACAGAGGCTTTGCACCAAAAGCCCAGGCAGGCAGCACTCTATGTCAGCAATTACCATTTTGAGGTAAATTATGTGGGTCAAAAATAATACAATTCAATTTTACCATGATCACATTTTGTGTATCTATAAACCACTCTAGTGACAAAAGCTAGATGAGGATCAATTAACTTAAAAACTCAACCAAGGTAAAGGGAGTAAAATATTTTCAGGGAACTTTTCGACCGAGTATCGGAGTTATCAGACTGTGGCAGCTGCGATGCAGCCTCCCCTGCTACTTAATTACTGCACCAAAGAGACGTGGCGATGTGGACGTCTCTCCAACAACTTCTCTCTTTAAGACTAAAAGTGTCTTAATTCCCTATCCTTCCTTTCGAGCAGCTGCACACTCGATCACAGCTTTCTAAAGAGGGAAAGCAGAGTAGATGAAGCCGAGATTCACCATCTTGACCCCAAAGCAGCAGTGACTCTCAAACCCCATCCAAGATTTTTAACACTGCTGTTTTGTGTTTTAGGTCTATATACAGAAATAAATACAGATGGGTGTTCTGCAAAATAAGTATGAAAATCCCCCAAAAAGCCAAGGAGAAGGCGCTCTCAGAAGGGAGTGTTTGGCAAATCCCGGAACCTGCCTACACACTCACAATTCTAAGAGATAAATTAGGCAAATGAGACCAATCTTGACGGCCGAGCAGACCCAGCCCTCAGAGATCAGAGCAAGGGGCAGAGATGGCAGTGCTAGTGCTAACGGTTTGGCTCGTTGTAATTCCCTGAAGAACAAATCAAAGTGAGTCCAGGAAATATAATCTTTCACGTATGATCGCAGAAGGCGAGGGACCTTGGTGCTGTACAGATCCAACACCGTGTGAGACGCAAACTCGGATCAAATGGATCGAGTGTCCAAAGTGGCAGATGAGCTCCGCGGGGTACGGAGCTGCATGGTGAAGTTAACTGTCTTTTTTGTTTTTGAAAAGCAAAGATGTTCTGCAATGCCAGGGGACCCTGTTCTTTTTAGGCTGTTACAATTACATCTTTGCGGGCAGGATATTTTTACAACACAGGACAAATGCAGTTAAGGGGGGGAAGGGGCTGGAAGAAGCTTGGCTAGTCTTAGGGGCTGGTCGCGGGAGAGGCTGTGATCATTCACGTTGGGGTGACGTTTCTGTGTCTCAGGGTGTGCACACAACAGACTGCAGAGTGCCTGATGGGCCAGTCGCAGGAGGTGATGAGCGGCACTACGTGCCCGGGGCCCAGGGGCACAGAGGAGATGGCTTTGGTCCCAAAGGACGGTCCAAGGGAGACGCAGAGGAAATGGTGCCATCCGTGGAGGGACAGGGGGTTCATCACTTGTTGGCATGTAGACCATAAGCAACAAGGACACAAAACAACAAAATGTTCCTTGAGAACTGGCCCTATGTTTAAGACAGAAGCTGGTGAGAGGTAAATCCTACAGAGAAATGAAAACCATGGCACCATCCTGTAGCAGAATCGCTGCCGAGGTGGAGAGGGACACACCGTGATGGAAGTCCCCAAAGAGTCCCCGTTCCTGAGGACACTGACAACAGTCCTCAGTCCTGAAGTGACTCTCGGCTTCCCCAGAGGAGAGACAGGTCACCTCCGTGATGACAGCCAGGTGGGGCCTCTTCTGCCTGGTCCCGGCGTTCTCCTCCTTACCAGGTACATACAGAGCTGAGCCCAACAGACCCAGTGACTGCAGCCACACGAGGCACCAGAGGTAAACTGCAGGGCTGAAGGATAAAGAGTCCTTTCCCCAGCTAAGCTGTCCACATCCTGTCCAGGCTGCCCTCTAGCCCTCTGGATGGGCTCCTGGGACCCCCAGAAGCTCTCCCCACTCTGAGGTACCCACCCTCCTCCATGTCATCACCAGCAAGGCCAAGAGAAGTGACACTCCCCCCAAATATACAAGTTGTGGCCATCACGTTCCCTCGTCCCCATCTCAGATGCCACAGAAACAGCTCAGCTGGGAAAGGCCCCACTGAAGGATTGTGAAGGAGCCTGCACAGGGAACATGCCAGAGACCTTGGCATGGGTGCCTTTTCCAATCCTGTGAGGGAGTTTAACCACACAGGGTGAGCACTTAAGGCCAGCAGCGTGTGTCTGAGGAGGCGGGGCGTGACACCGAGGAGAGGTCCACAAACTCACACTTAGGAGACAGATCTCTGCTACAAGCCGTCCCTGCTACATCCCAGAGACGGTCCGTCCTCAGGACAGAGCAGGCACTGAGCAGGCAAGACATGCTCTGCCCACCTGGTGTCCTGGGCAGACCCCCGCCACTGACCTTCAACTTAGGCTGTGGAAACCAGCTGCAGGGTGACAAAAAAGCCTCAAGCACAAAACATCAGTTTTCTATTTTTCATCCATCACCATTACAAAATGTCAAGGAAGGTCAGCATCAGCAAAGTTCCCCAAACCCAACAATCGTGCCTTAAAATGTTGCGGGCCACACAAGCAGCTAGGATGCCCGCCTCATGACCTTATGGGAAGTGTCGAAATTTGACTCAGTGAGAGGAACTCAAGGTCATTACCTGAAGAAAAGCAACAGGAGGGTGTGAAGCTGGTGCTTTCCACACGCACCTCTGCACTGTGTGAAGGTTTGGCTTCAAAAGGCATTTAGGCAACCACCGTGTCAGAAAATCCTGGTCCGCCTGGTCTGGATGGACATACGGCATCGCTCATGGGAATGGGCAGGTGATGGCTGGTTCGCAAGGCCAGGCAACTCGCAGAGCCTCGGACTCACCTGCAAACGACTTGGCAGATGCAATGAAGCCGCCCGAGAAATTTCATCAGCAACCTCACAGCCAGCGTGAGCTGCAGAGCCCTGGGCTAAAGCTGCTGTCACACACACGTCTTGGTCTTTGGTTGGTTGTTTGTTTTCTCCCTGTTTTGGCCAATCTGTATCTTTCCTTCCAGCACACGGGGAATAAGGGCAAGGGGGAGACGGTGTGCTCGCTGAGACACTCCTGTCTTAGTGAGCTTGGCATTTTATAAGACCTGAGGCCTGGAGAGGTGCTGAGTTAGTTACCAGGATCACAGCTTCCATGTCATATGAGGAAAGTCAGGGTGGGAAGTGGCTGACGAGGACCCGGTGCTCATGGTGACACATCAAGCCGGGGCACACACCTTGTCCTGCCTCCTGTACACGCCACAAGCCATGTGAAACTAAGGGCCACCCAGTTCTGCAGGGACCTGCTGTGATGAGCCTTCTACAGGACAGCTACTTCAGGAAACACTTTCAATCTCTTCCCACTCTTACTCTCTGAAGGTAAGCTTTTCCTTCAGTGTACAACCCTACATTTCCCTAACCAGTCACTCCCGATCCGACTGCAATTAAATCAGGACACAGGCGACTGCTGACTAGATGCGGCTTCCTTTGCTCCCACCACTCCTGACATGGCCCCTCTGACTGAGGGTGGAGCTTTAGTTCATCTTCTGACGATGGCACCCTGAAGCATCACCCACAGCTGTCTCTGAGAAAGGAGGTGCCACCAAGATCCAGCTGCAGTGATGGCGTTTGATGCTTGGCAGGGTTGGAGATGGACCAGGAAGGAGCGTCTCCAGATGTGCCTGTGAGTGATGACAGCGGACGCTGTCCCAGCAGTTAGGCATCCTCCTCTCTCACACTCTTGTTTGCAAGCTTCGTTCAGAGGGCGCTGCCCCTCGGGTGAGGGAAAGGCGAAGTGGGGATTTACTAAGTGGTCTGTCTGCGTCCTGCCAGGTCCCACGTAGATTCCGATTAACCTTTCCAGGACTGTGGCCCTACCCTCTGAGGACACAGAAGTCTGGACGTCTTGGTCAGGCTGGGGGTGGGGGGTTCCAGGCTGCAGGCTTTCTGGCGGGACGTCAGGCACATGCCATTTCACGGGTCCCAGAGAGTCAAAGAGTCAGTCCTGTCACAAACTACATCACAGCGACAGAGGGTATCTCCCGAGGGGCTGTCAGTTGGCGTACTGGGCATAGAAGGCCACTTTGACCCTCTCGATCTGGTGACACAGCTTAATGGCGGGCCCCAACTTCAGCTCCAGGCACTCCTGTACAGTGGGGAGTGTGAGCAGCAGGAGTGCCTGGCCATCAATGTCCTGCAGGGGGAGACAGAGAGGCAGGTCAGAGAGGGGCGGCGCGCACCAGGGGACACCTGCCATGCCAGGCTTCCTCCTGGAGCCAAGCATGAGAAGCGGCCACTCTGTGGTTTTATCTGATTTGGGGGAGCGCTGGCAGACTCCAGTCTGGCTTGGCAACCAACTACCTCTGTGCTAATTACATTTTGGCTACTCCAGAATTCACACACCTATCCTGGTTGGTGCAAAGAGCCTGAGCAGGTGCACTGTGGTGGGAACTGTTTCTTGAGCCTGTCACCCCTCCTGGGAGGGCAAACCCTCACCAGGCCCCCACCAGGCCAGGCTGGGTCCTTCCTATGGGATGCTGAGACTTAATCTGAGCGCTAGGTCTCTCTGCTGAAAGAGAAGCTCTCTTCTTTCCTTGCTGAGTCTGACACTGAACTTCCAGGACAGGTGAGGAGGTGCCGGAGGAAAGACACAGCAGCTGCACAGTGGAGTCCTCCTGCAGACAGACAGACACACACACACACACACACTGTCTCTCTCATAGGCAGACATTGCCCATTGTGTGATGTCACCATACACAGGTCAGCTGCCCCAGCCTGCCTCCTTCAGCCCTGCTGTGGCCACCCACAGGGTCCCATACCACGAAGATATTCATTAAATGACTGTTGAACTGAACTTGCTACAGTTCAATGTTACAAAGACTCATCCCTCACAGAGGCAAACTGTGTAAACTGCTGCTTGTTTCTCATTCTGTGTTTATGTCCCCCCCCCTTTCTCTAGAGCACTTTACATGTTATTTCACCTTTTCAAATGTTATTGATTGATAAGGCTGACAGTAGTCCGGACACTGGAGGTACTCAGCAAGCCTATCCCTGGCCTGGGACCTGCTGCACAATTCCCCTTTCAAAGCCAAATCTAAATATATTAGATAAAAATGGATAGAGAGGGCATAGGTGTCAGGACACAAAGTCTTCTGGGTATCATGGGCCTCACAAAAATGTATTTTACGTAGGCAGTCCACATAAAATTGCGTGCAGGCGGCTTCCCTGCACAACGACATAAAACCGCACACTGGAGGCTTCCCTGCACCACGACATAAAACCACGCACTGGAGGCTTCCCTGCACCACGACATAAAACCATGCACTAGAGGCTTCCATGTACCATGACGACATAAAACCGTGCACTGGAGGCTTCCCTGAACCACAACGTAAAACCCCGCACTGGAGGCTTCCCTGCACCACAACGTAAAACTGCGCACTGGAGGCTTCCCTGAACCACAACATAAAACAGCGCACTAGAGGCTTCCCTGCACGACATAAAACCATGCACTGGAGGCTTCCCTGAACCACAACGTAAAACTGCGCACTGGAGGTTTCCCTGCACCACAACGTAAAACCACACACTGGAGGCTTCCATGTACCACGACGATATAAAACCGCGCACTGGAGGCGGCTTCCCTGCATCACGACATCAAACTGTGCAGAGGCAGCTTTTCTATTATGTTCGCTGTCATCAACAGTGCAGGTCACAAGAGAACTGAAACTTATTCTGGGAAATGGATGTTTACTTTTGAGGTAGAAATTAATGCCCAGAAAAGCCAGCCAGTCTAACTATGCTTCCAAACAGCACTGGAACTGGAATTGTGCCTTTCTGCTTTAAGCTTTGGAGGCAAAATTATAGCTCAGTCTGTGACATTCACCCTTGGTCATGGGCCGTCTGGGCACAGAGAGTCAATGACCATTAAAACTCAGCCCTGTGAGATTTACTGAGCTCACGCTCACAGACAATTTCAGTGAAAATTGCCAACATGCACAGGCACCATGTCCCAGTGGAAGGTGCCACTTGTTCATTTGTCTACTGGACATTTATTGAGCAGCTACTGAGTGCCAGGCACTCAGATGGCCTCTGAGAATATAGCACTGAATTAAAAACCACAGTATGTCAGACACCAGAGTGGATACCAGGGACACAAGCCGCCTGCAGTCAGAGCACGGCAGAGCTGGAGGCCCCAGTACTGGGCTCTGGCCCCTGTGGGGGAGTTGCACTGAAACTGTCAAGGAGGCACCTGCCAGGGCCGGGGCTGTTTGGTTGTCTGCTGTGTGTTTGTTCCCTTTGCTCTTTGCCGAGCACCTGGAGAGACACCTGCCCACCATAGAACAAGACTCTGTCCACACTGGCTGAATGAACCCATGGGAAGAACTGGCCTCAGTAAAGCTAAGTTGTTGGATGGGTAAAGGCCAGGGTGATGGAGCAGGGCACAGACAGCAGAGTGGGAGGAGAGGGCAGGGGGCTCCCCGACATGCCAAAGAGCAGAGTCAGGCCCTGCAGGGAGGGCTTTGCCACCTGTCAGGGGAGCAGGAACGTGGCACTCCCACCTTGAAAGCTTTGTGATGGGGACCAAGGGAGGAGCCCCTCTCAGGCAAGTGCCCTCCTGCCAAAGATGCTGGATCCTCTTATGGAAATCTTACATGGGAAGAAACGAGGTGAACATTCACTTCTTCAAGCTGTAGATACACGTGAGATAGAAACTCACGTCTCAGTGTGAAGGCTGACTGCAGGTCTTTAAATCTGCGTAAAGGGGTCAAGGTCAACCCACTCCCAGTCTTCTACTTTGTGACGCAGACACAAAGAGTCAGTGCCGCATCTGGAGAGATTCTGAGCTCACTGGAGGGTGTACAGTGACCTTGAGTCATCCAGGATGCATTTGCTAGTCCCGGGCACAGTGCTGGGCACACAAGAGACACCCCAGTATCCCCCGAATGGATACGTGGCATAAGATGTGTTGGAAATGAAGTCAGGTCTTGAGGTTATGTGGACAGGGAATTTGGTCTCCTTCCTAGGATGACCATGCCATGCATGATGCATCCCTGCTCCTGGGGTCAACTTTCCTGCCCCACAGCTACCACCTGCCACTGGGCCCAAGGACTTCGGCCCTCAGCCCACTTGGCTCTGACCCGTCTGCAAAAAGCCCTTGCCCCCTCTGCTCAGCTGAAGGCGGCTTGCTTGGCCTGCCGCAGTCGCAGCCTTGCTCATGCTGGCTCTTCTTCAACTTCTCCACTTAAATCTACAACCCCTCTCTGCTGATAGCAGTTTTACTCCCTTACACGCTTCTGCTAACTGACCGACGTTGCAGCCACTGATCTGAGTGAGTGTTCAGCATCACGGGCCATCTTATTCATCTTCGATTCAGGTAGCTTTTAACAAAGTGCCTCTCACACAGAGGTTACTCTATAAATTCTCATTGCAATGAGAGTTCTCTGACACACCTGCCACAGGGAAACGTAGGGCCTGGTGCCGACCAGTGCAGACTTGAAGGAAACTGATCACCAGAAGGTTACAGGTGCCTGTCATGTTCCAGACGCTAGTGCCAGGCAGCCAGGATGATGTGTGCAGAGAGTGATGGCCGTGCCGGAGGGCACCGGATGGGAGACTCGGAGGCCGCACTTACAGCGGGGACTGCACAAGCTGAGGCTCCTATTTCCCAGGGTTGCAGTTTCCAGAGTGGGGGACTTTATTATAATCTACATATTTGAGCTTCCTGTTTTGAAATTGTGGAAGAGAATTATAAAATAGATGAGGCTTGAGGCACTCAGCACTTTCACAGAAGCCTGGTTAGCAATTTTAAAATGTGCTTTAACTAGAGAATTTAGAATGGCATTATTTAAAGGGAGGTAAAAAAGAAAAAAAAAATAGCTAGTGAGTGAATTCCACCTGCTGGCTCTAGCCCAGTTCACGTTTTCCCTTTTAATCTGCAAAGGCACGAAGGTGGTAGAGGGCCCGTCAGACATCAGCACAAGTGGCACAGAATTGTGTCAGCAAATAATTTCTAAGAACCCACGAGCTACATGCCAGGTACTTAGGAGTGTGCACATTCTTTATATCATGGTCATCACACCCATCCCAGCTCTGGGTTTTAATAACTGCTTCAAAAGGCAACCGGTGAGATGGGAAAAGAAAAAACGGAAGTGTGAATAGGGTCTGTCTCGCTGTGAGGCTGCACTTGGGGACGTGGAGGCCGCACTTGGAACAGCCCCCCTTGGGAGCTGGTGACTCATGCCTCGGCGTTTCACTGCACCCCTTGAGGAAGCCCCTGCATACAGGGGACCAAGCCAAGCAGAAACCCAGAGCTGAAATCCTGGCCCAGAGAGATGCAGACCAGGGCACGGGGCACAGACCATGGTCCCTGCTAGGATTACAGCCTTGTCACCCTGTATTTTGGCTGGAAAGAATTAAGTGACAACCAGACTTGACACATGAATGAGGGAAGTGGCTACAATGTAGCCTTTCCCTGGTGGACCTGCTGAAGGACCTACACTGCCCACTCTGGGCTCCCTGCTCCCAAAATGATATGAAAAAGGATTCCCAGTGTGACCCTTTGGAGAAGACTGTCCTGCTGGGAATGAAATCCCTCCTCTGATTTGCAGACACTGCAGTTCCGTGCTGCCCACTGAAAGGTGCTGGGTTTAGCAGCTGGAAGATCAGTCCACCATGGTGCACCAGACAGTGGGGGTATCAGGGACCCCATATTGGGGCTGATTGATGTGCACTGTGACCACAGGTCACCAAGAGCCACTCGACCAGCTGACAGTGGGGCAGCACTCGGGTGAAAAACTGGGCAAAACAGGAGAATATACATAATGACACTAAAAAGTCAGGGACCATGGGTGGCGGCTGTGGCTCAAGGGAGTAGGGCGCTGGCCCCATATACCAGAGATGGTGGGTTCAAACCCAGCCCCGGCCGAAAACTGCAATAAAAAAAAAAAAGTCAGGGACCAAGGCAGCAGCCCGGCCTACCGCCCCTCAGGTGTAGCTCTTTAGGTTCATAAGGTCCTTTTCCTTTCGAGGATTACGTAAACAGCACAGTAGAACTCACCGTTGATGCCATTTTTATAACTCTGCTCTTATGCAATTCAGAATTGCTGGCAGATCACTTGTTATGTTAAACATAGAACTGCCATAAACGGACCGCTACAAACTCGTAAAGAAATGAAATATGATAAGACATACAACACAGATGTTAGTTAGCACACGGAGGCATTAAATTTATTCTGGGAGACAGTTTGGTGGAAGCCCTGGTGGTTCCCAGGGAGGTGTCAGGTCTGCAGAAGGGGAGAGAGGAGGGAATGGTCTCAGTGGGAACGGCCTCAGTTCAAAGTAAACCTGTAAACTATGCTGAGATATTATCTCATGGAAGTAAACCACCCACTTGGACAGACTGCTTATCATATATCTCTGATTTATCAAAGTTAAAGAATGGAAAAAATTTTATTGAGAGTTTTGTGTTTTCTTAGTTATAGATTGGGTGGATTTTTGCTTCCTACTGTATAGGTTTGCAGCATAAAATTATAGAGTATAGAATTTTTAAGTAGTTGCCATGACATTTCAGAAATGAAAGGTATACAGATGCTGGTGAAGGGAATAATGGGAAGTTTGTAATTTTTGCAAATGCCCCTGGTGATTATAATAATCTCTGAATTTACTGCACCTGGGGCATGAACGCACACACCTGTGACCACTCTGTGCACTGGGGTCTCACAGCCTGGGGAATAAAATCTCAGCTTCCTCCTCTTTCATAGCTCAGAGGAGGCCGCACCAAGTCAGAGCTGGGGCATTTGGGCTAAAAGGCGACAGAACAAATTAGGAAAAATTAACAGTAACTAACGATCTGACAGAACAGAAAAGGACCCGAGTGTCACGTGCTCCAGAAAGCCCAGTGGACGGTGGCTTTTTATTACGACAGGTGAAACCTCGTGATGTGAAATGTAACATTAAACAGGAATACGGTGATTGTCAGTTACGGCTCACTTATTTTTCTTTTTCATGAAAGAAGTGAGGAGGTATCAGGGCCAAGCTCTCATCTGAGGTCAGCAGAGCAACCTGGAGGGAAGCGTCACCAACTGCTCGATCTGCATGTGGGGGCATGAAATGCCACCAAGTGGGCACAGGGACACGGCAGGGTGAGACCCGAGTGAGTGGTCCTCCCCCAACCCGCTTTGTTTCACTTTCTTGCTTATTGCTGAGAACTTGTACCAGGCACGGACACACCAACTTGTTAACTGTTTCCAGCACAAGGGTTTGAGCTCCTGTAACCTAACATGGATTCTAAAAGTGAGATTTCTGTCCTTTGTTCTGGATCAACTAAAAAATACATTTTTTTTTTTTTTTTAAGGGCAGTGCCTGTGGCTCAAAAGGGTAGGGCGCTGGCCCCATATGCCAGAGGTGGCGGGTTTAAACCCAGCCCTGGCCAAAGAAAAAAAAAATTTTTTTTAGTTAAAACTGGGCATTTTAGCTTCAAAACAAAAATAAAACAGAAAAAAAATGTTAGGTGACATAAGAGGCCACATCCCGTAGGGACTGTTTAGACACCTCAAGGCACCTGACAGGCGCTCCGTCAGTGTCTGTTGCGTGAACGCACCAACCCACAGGTGCACGTTAGTATGTTAAAGCCTGTGTCATCAGCACTGGTCACGTGTTTGGGTACCACGCTTTTCTTACAGCACCACCAGCGATAAATCTCCGTCTGGACAAACATTGTGTCAGGTCAGGCCACTATTTGCGCAGGAGCCTGGTCTGTCTCTATCAACCTTTTATCAGCAATCCCCAAATCACGTAAGTCTTCACACTGCTCAGAATTCTTTTCCTTCCTGCTCGGGTGTGGCACAGAAGGGACGAGCTTCTCCCCCAGGTCCCTGAGACCTGACGGGGCTTCTCCCTGTTTGTAGTCAGAGGTGCCAAGGGAGGACGTGCAGGGGCCGTCAGCAGACGCGGGCGGCCCTCCCCTCTGGCCTCATGCATTCCTTCGACATGAATGGGCAGTGCCCAGGAGGGCCCCAGTGGTCAAGCAGATGAACTACATCTCTGAACTTCCCTGGACACGGTGACAGACCTCTGAGGTGCAAGAACCTATTAATTTGCTCTTTTCAGTTGGTTACTGCATTGACTTGCGAGAAAGGAGAGAGCTTCCCTGGGTCCCTGGGAAATCACAGTTCTTTCATTTTCCCCTTGATCGAATGCTTGAAATATTTTCTTTCTAGACTACTGGTTGATATGACTTATAAAAAAAAAGAACCTGAATAAACATGTCTTTAATTTACAATACGGAAAACAGTGTATTTTTAAACACAGGGTCTTTGGAGACAGATATTCATACTGCAAGACAATACAACAAATTTCAACAAGCTCTGCACAGGCTACGGCCAGACCAGGGGCTGAACCTGAAGCCTGCGTGTGAGGTCAGGGACCAGGACACAGCAGCAACTCCTTTGCAGGCTAATTTAAGGGAAAAGGTAAATAAAACCCTCCCTTCTTTCTTAGGACACCTTGTTGCAGGTCTTACATTTCAGCTGCTGGATTACAGACTCCTTTATGGTCAGAGTTATATTGATTGTTTGTGCATTTGTTCATCACAAGACCATAGGTTTTAAAGCAGTTTATCAAGAAAGAAGTGAAGAAGGTAAGAAAACATTGATGAAAGGGGCATTAAGTAAACCACAGTGGACAGACAGCTTCTACTCTGAAAAAGTCCAGCAGATACACTGTGCCCTACTCATCTTGTTAGGTGTAACCCCAGAAACTATATATTATTCCACAAATAGAGGACCCTGGAAGGTGGAAGGAAGAGGGCAGATCCTGGGGCTGTGAGTCCCCGGTCAGGGACCTGAGCGGCTGCTTTCCTTGTTTGTCTGCGTGCCTCACAGAGGAAGACTTGGAGCTGAAGGTGGCAACCCAAGCTCTCCAAATGGCAGAGACAAAAAGAGGCCCCAAGAAGTCTGCTCCCTTTAGCCAAAGGACCTACAGAGGGCTGGCCCAGCCAAACACATTCAGGCACCAGCAGCTCCCTGCAGCTCCCTGCAGCTGGATATCCCAGGGAAAACCTGCCGGCCCCACCCACACCAGCGGAGGCTCAGTGAGCAGCCCTGACTTTCAGCCTGGCTGGGCTGCAACCAGGCACCAACCCCCCAAAAGGTGGATCTAGCAAGGCCAAGTAGGGATGGCCATCCCTGCCTGATGGTAAAAAGCCCCCTACTGTGAGGTTGGTGGAGGCTGAGGGTGGGTCCTGGACTCACCCTCCCTGGCTACAGGATCAGTGAGGAGCAGCAGGAGAGAGACAGGGGTCTCCCTGGAGCCGAGCCTCCTACACTTGCCACACGGGTGTCAGCCACGGCCAAGTGGGCACTGGCCGTGGGTCCCCCCCTGGCAGTCATGAGGATGCCAGCTAGCACGGGAGGCTTCTGTGAGACCCAGAGTTTGTAACATAAAGCACCAAACACATAGCTAGCTGCCGTACCTGCTCTTGAAATATCTTGGCCAAGGGGGCGCAGTCCGTCAGCTTGATAAACCGCACCACGTCGGTGACCGTCCACTCCAACGGGTTGCTCTCCAGAACCAGCCTCTCCTCCTCTTCCTGTTTTGTGTCCTGTAGGGGAGGCAGAGGCTGGACCTCAGCCACTGTGGGGTCGGTCGTGTCCCCCCAACATGTTGCAGGCCTGAACTGAGCCTCCTTCCTGGGCCAGGAGCAACTGCCTCCTCCTCCCACTGCACCCCTGAGCAAGGTGCCCAAACTCTTTGGGGAGTTTCTCAGCATCTCAGCCAGGGAGACCTTGCTGGAGATGACACGCGCGCCCTCGGAGGTTAAGAAAACCAGTACGGTAAGAGTCACTCTTGAACCCATTATGAATGATGCTCTCTGGTGAGGGACAAGGGCTGCTGGGGGTATGGCTGACGTGCTGGGGGTGGCCAGCTATTCCCCACCACTCAGTGTGACATCAGTGCTACTACAGGCTTCGAGGAGACCTGACACGCTGATTTAAAACTTTATGACATCACAGAGGCTTCTTCTAGAGGGGAACAAAATGCAAAGTTGGTGATGGGAGATGCAGAAACGGAAATTTTGGAAACCCAGGAGTGAAAGGGCCTGGCGGCTTGAGTGACGTTGTGACTGCCTCCAGAACCGCACTCTGTCCCTGACTTAGGAATTTGGCTACGGCCATGGCTGCTATTCTGGATATTTTAAACAGGTTTCCCCAGATCGCAGCCTTGAATAGCAGTGAGCACTCCTTCTGAGAAGTGCGTGGGCAGCCCTCTGTCCCTAGGCCTCACCTCTGTCCCCTCGGGTCTGGCAGGTGGGCACTTCTCTCCCTCCTCTGCAGAGGAGGCAGCTGGCGCTCTGCGGCCCCTCCGCGTCCTCTCCATGGGCGGCCGGCGTGCAGGCTCTGAGCCACTCCTCAGGGTGACGGCCCTCCGGGGCCGGGCCGAGGGTACCTCTGCAGATGAGGTGTCTGTCTGGTCATCGCGGAGCTCGGAGCCGGTCTCCTCACTCGCTGTGTCATCGTCCACGGCGTCTGCGTCATCTTCTTCACTCTCCTGGGAAGCAGAGACAGGCACTGAAGGGGTATTGGATGACATGGGGGCCCGAGGGCAGGATCCAAGCTCTAGCCACCCACCTCCTGGGAGGCAGCTGAGGATGGATCTGATTGTCCCAACGTGGCCCTTTCAGTCAAAGTAATCTGTTGTCAACAAGTAAGGAGAGGGTGCACACTTCAGCTCTGCCTTGGTCATGGAGCCACCACACCTGCCGGTGGGGCCTGGGCATCCCATTGGAACGCGTGTTTGGGTGGGACGTACCTCCCCTGAGCCTGTGGCCAAGTCCACAGTGGAAGATCTCCGTTTCTTCTGCACAAAGATGGATTTCCGCCGCTTCCTCCGCCGGGACGGCTTGGGGTGTCCACCTTCGATGCTGCTTTCCCCGATGGGAGGCTTACTGATCTTTTTCCTCTTGCCGTAATAATAGGCTGTGGAGGGAAGGGAGATGAGAAGCTTTCCTGAAGGCTATGCAAGCATGGGCACACTTGGACAGAGGGAGGAGAGGAAGAGAGACCACCCTTTCACTGGGGACAGTAAAACTCAGACATGTCACCAACACGCCTCGGGAATCCATTCTGAGAAAACAGCCCCACAGGCAGCAAACGCTCCTCCAGGGCCTCACGTTCAGAAGGGGTCATGGGCTGAACCACGTCCCCCTCAATCCGTGTGTTGGAGCCTCAATGCCCCACTGTGACTGATCTGGAGGTGGCAGGTCCTTTAAGGAGGCCACCGAGGTTAAACAAGGCCATGAGCCCCGAGCCAGCACCCGGCCTTCATCCAGAGGAAGGATGCCTTTACAGGAAGGAGAAGAGATGCCACAGCACGGAAGCTGGTCATCGACCCTTGGATTAGAAGTGACAGAGGGGGGAGACACAGGAAGCTCGGCACTGGGGCCAAAGACAGTGTTCTGGCTCAAGGCAGTGAGGCTCAAGGGTCTGAGAGCAGCCACCACAGGCGGAGAAGGTCAGTGGGAGAAGGATGGGGGAGTTTGAACAGGGAAGATGAGGTCACCACAGAGAGTGGACCCGTGCAAAGGGTGAAGAGAGAATTGTTGCCATTTCTCACTGTGAGGACCGAGAGTCACCGGGGTTCCCAGTCATCCCTGATGATCAGTTTACCGACAGTCTCCCTCCAGCCACACTGCTCTTGAGTCCATGAACCCCCCCGAATTTCAGGGCAGTACACACGTGCTCATTCTTGCCCAGGTCCACCGGGGCAATCGATCAGTTTACCGACAGCCTCTCTCCAGCCACACTGCTCTTGGGTCCATGAACCCCCTGACATTGGGCTCATCTTCCTAGTTCATGAACCCCCCAAACATTCAGGGCAGTTCATTCTTGCCCAGGCCATGAACCCAGGACTCTCTCCAGCCACACTGCTCTTGGGTCCATGA